TCATTGCTTCTGACATTAATTCGTTCACTATTACCTTGATCATCATTTTTCTCGTCACTATTTTCGATAGTGTCTTCTGTACGAACAGTTTTCAGTCGTGAATCTTTTGATGGTTTTGTTGCGTTTGTTGGCGATGAATGTAAAGATGAATTTGTTAACTCATTTGATATTTCTCTATCTTGTACAACAACAGAACGTTGAATACGAATATTTGATGTTAATAATCGAGGAATCCATATGTCTTGTTTTGTCCACATTAAATAAAGAAGGATTAATGAACCCACGACTAATAATGGTTTTGACCAATTGATCTTTTTATACCATGGATATGTCTTTAATTGTGAACGTTTGTTTTCGATTTTTTTCTATACAAACAAATCAGATTAATAAAATTTTCTTACTAAAGATGTATTAAATATTGATGAAAAAGTAAAAGAAAATATTTTTCTCAGACATATTTACTGTTCAAACTTTTATTATTGTCAATAGTTAAAAATCGTTCGACAATGAACGGAAAAGAACTTTGAAGAAATTTTAAATTAGTTTCAATTAATTATGAAATAATATATTTGTAAAGTACCTACCACATGAAATTCAAGTAAAGTTCCTTTTTTTCTCTTGTTGTTGTTTTTTCAATTTCTTCAACTATTTTATTTGTAAATTCAACATTTAAAATTGCATAGAAATACTTGATCAATACAAACTTCGTCTGAACATTTTGTTGATGGTGACTACCTAGATTGTTTTTATTTGCATGCTTATAGGCTATTTTTGTAATTCTATCGGATTTTTCTATGTCATTGATCAGGAAAAGTATATTGTATCATTTAATTCATTGTACTACACGTCATAGAAGTATGTGTCGCTTGTGTTTTCTCCATTGCTTGGTTGTTAAAAAAAAAAGTCATTTTTTCGAAATTCTGAGCCAAATGACTAGACAAATTTCCATCAAAACTAATCTTCTATGTAATAAGATTATCATATTCAGTCATGTACTGCTAAAAAATGAGTTGTATGACATATGTTCCGACACTTTTCGTTATTTTTTTGTTCAAAAATCTCAATTATCATTTCAGTTGACAACTCAAAAAGTATTGAAATCATTAGAAACAATAAAATTATACGTCAGTCAAGTCACTTTTTAATATTGTGATTGAATATAATAATCTTATTACATAAAAAGATAGTTTTGATAGACAAAAGTCTAGATATTTGTATAAGAATCTAGAAAAAATTACTTTTCTCATCAACCAAGCAATGTAGAAACAAACAAATGATGCATACTTCTGTGACAAGTAATGTGATGAATCAAATAAAATAATATATTTTGTCTGATTACTTATAGAGAAAACCTAGATTGACTTACAAAAAAAGACCTAGAAACATGTCAATAAAACTACTCCAGACTATCACCATTAACAGAATTATAGGATCAAGTTCGATTTATTAAAGTGTTTCCATTCAATTTGAAATACTGAATTTGAAAAAAACAAATAATCGAACAAACTATAAAAAATACACAACAAAATAGAAAGTTCAGCATAAACTGAAAATAATGTTTTTCTTTTTGCAAAAAAAGCAATTTCCTCTCAGTTATTCTGTCTGCAGCTTTTTTCAATCTGACAAAAAAAAACTATCAGCAAAAATTAAAAACCTTTCTTTTTCTTGATCAGAATCTCAAACTTTATCGATCCCATGTATGAAACAAAAATGAGAAAAGAAAAATTTTGCTTGAATTTTGATGTTGTGAATATCATCCAAGAAATATTGAATAGAACAGAAATATGTATAGTTTAAAAATTTATTTTTAAAGATAATATCATACCTCAGATTCATGTATTTGTCGTGATTTTTTTGTTTTGGGTTTGTTGCTGGCTTCTGATGAATCATCATCAACATTAGCACTATCGATTGAAGGAGAATTAACCGATACTAATCTATGATTGGGAACTGTAAGAGATTTTGTCATTAATATTGTATCATCATCGTCTGTATTAAATGAGTATGTTTTTATGACATGATTTTTTCTATTAGTTCCATTTGCATCTGTAGCATAAATTGTTACAACTTTTTGTGTCATCGTGGGTTTTTTATAGTTAATTCAATAGCCTCAAATAAAAAAGAAAAATTAAAAAATCTAAGAAAATATCGAATGATTAGTAAAGAAAAAGAGAATAGAACAAAATCTTCGCTTCAATGACAGTAACGATTCAACATGTGCCTTTCGACTATTACTATTTATTTAAAACAATCCTTGTTCGTGTATAATATACTTTTATTTACGCTTGAATGATTTTGTTAAAACAAATATTCACTGATAGGATGCTTTTTCTTCAAACATCAACGTGTATCTCAAGGACGGTCATCATGATTAAGACTATGACTGATACTTTAATCGAGAATTTTAGAATATTTTATTGGAAAAATAAAAATAACTGAATGTTATTCTTAAAAAATAATATAAAATGAATCAATCATTTATTATCGAATAATAATCAATTGATGATTTTTAGTAAAATAAATCTTGTTGATCATTTAGATTCAACTATATTTATTAATATATCTTACTTTGATATAGATAATTATAAAATATGAAAGATGAATTTTTCATTGAGTTGTTAATTATTTTATAGATAATAGATATAAGTTAATATTATAATGTTATTTATTGAAGGAATATTATTATGAAAAATTTTATCTAACTTTATTTATTTAATTACCATTTTGTTTCATATGAATGAGTATTAAGGAACTTTTTAGGCGACAAAAAAAATGAAAAAAAAGAAGTTTTCCTTAATCAAATTGAATAACGAAGAGAATTGCTATAATCAATCATTTTTTTATAGGTTATTCTATTTTTAGTTTTTATTATTGTTACTCGAGCATTTATTTTATCAAGTCCACAGACAATTATTCTTTCGTCTGTCACTTTTTCCTTTTATTATTAAATTTCTTTTTTTTTTATTAAAAACTGTTGATCAATTAGAAGCAAAAAAAAAATATTTTATTCGATTAAATCAATCAATATCTCAAATTAGCATTTATTTTAGTTTAGAATAAAGAACTATACGGAAATAGAGGGTAAAGAAAAAATTTCTCCCTAAAGGTATGTATGTCCTTTATTGAATCGAAACTCCATTGTTCAATATCTGGACAAACCTATTGTCAATATCTATGAAGTCTCAAAATATATAGTAGCATTCTTAAGTAGTTATATCGATTAAAAGATATATACTTGATAGAATATTACACAATTATGATGATTAATTATTAACTTTGTTATATTCATAATGAAACAATTCTTTTATTCATATTCAATTCGGAAAGTCACTTTTAGAGATTAATAAAAAAAACATCCTTTCTATAAATTGAACAAATATTTTTTTGTCGTATGTCATTATATAAACATCCATATAACCTTGAAGTTTTATTAGTTTATAAAAGTACGTAGTAATGTGGAAATCAGTCATACATAGACATAATATAATTTTATTAAATTATGTTAGTTATTTTGCTGACAGATAAATGCGGCTCAAATGTTTGTGCCATCCGTTTAAATCAAAAATCTCTTATTTAACTAATAATGTTTTTTATTCGAGTAAAAATAAGTTACTATATGCTTTGCATAGTAGCTTATCCGTGTGAAGCAACATGATAAAGGTCAGTATTTGATCATGTCTTGTCATAAACAAAATCTACACATGACAAACATCATATGTGCAATTAAAAAATAACTTCTATCAAGTAAAACAACAAAATTAAACAATTAGAAATTTAAGTCAAAGGAAAAAAATCATTGAATCAAATATAAAAGAAAAAGTCAAAGCAGTTTTGTAAAAAAGAAATTTATATAAATTAATCTATTTAACCAAAATAAATCTACTTTCTTTTCGATTGTAACAGAATATTGAAAACATGAACTCTAAAAGTTATTTTACTTCAATTTTATTTGAATTCGATAATGCATCGAAAAATTTCAGTAAAATACATATTATTAATGCATTATTGCGATTCCAGACCTAACATGTTTTCTTGAATCATTAAAGTTGCATAAGTTGTTACCGGCAGGAACTTTTTTTTTCTCATATTAAAATGTAGGGTGTTGTTCACAAGTGTCATAATGGGATGTATGTCAAATTAGATGTTCCGTAGTGCATATGTTAAGCGTTTATTTCTCGTTATCTAGAGCACATACACTTACATATAATTAGTTCAAATGAACACAGTAAACCTATGCGCATATTCCGATGTTTTTTTTTGTTTAGTTCTTGTTCAAAAATATACATTGAAAAATCGATCGATGATTCAGACTGGACTCTCTCGAACTGATCTGATCGAGATAAAACTCAATTGAATCAGAACATCTTAACATTTGATTATCTTGAACTCCTAGAATAGGTGTTTCTGATATTAATTAAATAGGAATCAATCAATCATTTTTGTAGATGCAATGAAGGCTATGTTTGAGTCACGATTTAAAAATATATCGTATATTATATTAATATATAGAATTTAGAAAATATAGCCTTCTTTGTCTAGTACTATTTAGGAAAAATTAACAAACAAAAGTGTATAATCGTCTTTAAGTGAAAACTAGCATAAGTATTGTTTGTTTGAGAAAATTACAGTTTAATAAGCTTTAACATGGTGTTCTCGTTTGAAAAGTTTTATTCTATAATTAAGAAAAAAACTATTCTTAATAAAAGAAAAAGTCTTTTTCTATTTCTTAATTAAACACGTTTATATTTTTCTTCGGCGTATTTTTCAGTTTTCTATGTTAGCAAATATAATTATGAAAATAATTCATCTATGTGTTTATTCACATGCAATATGAACGTTGTCTTGTTTATCGACAGAATGAAAAAAAAAAAAAAAGAAAACATGAAGAAAAAAGATCGTATTTATTCAGTCTTTTTTTTTCTCTTCAATGATCTTATACTCTTAGTAATTTTACAATCTTATATTCCTAATTTCTATTTTCTTTTTTTTCTAGATAAAAAATGACCGAACATATTGATGGTAGTCGTTTAAATCACGATCTTCGTTATCGTTTTGAGTATTTATCAAAATTTATAAATTTTACAAATGATGACATTAAATCATTAAATACATTAGCGACAATAGCTCTTCCACTTATTCCGGTAATTGTAGATGCTGTCTATAGAAAATTATTTCAATTTGATATAACAAAAGAATTTTTTGTTTTGCGTAATGATGGTTTTGATGGTCGATTAAAAAAGGATGAAGGACTTACATTAGATTCCGCACAAATGGCATATCGTCGAGATATGTTAAGTGGTTATTTAAAACGTTTATTATTACAACGTGAATGGACAGATGATTTTCTTCAATATCTATCACGAATTGGTCGAATGCATACAAATAAAGTTGGATTAGCATCAATTAATGTTGATTACGTACATATGAATGCAACATTAAGTTATGTTGAAACATTGATTATTGATTCTGTTTGGATTACAGAAAATATTGATAATAAAACAAAAAAAGATATTTTAACAGCAGTAAATAAAGCATTTAGAATTCAAAATGATTTATTTCTTTTACATTATCTTGAACCATCAAAAGAAACTAATGCAACAACATCTTCAACACATCACAAAACAAAAAAATGTGTTTGTAGTTGATCATTTTATTTTTGTTTCATTGTATTTGTCGGATTTGCAAAAAAAAAAAAGAAAAAATAGCTATAAAATATTATGTTTAATGTCATTTTCATTATTCAATTAAATAAAATAAAAAAATTAATTTTTAATATTTTTTTATTTTTGTATTTTAATTAAGAAAAGATAAAACTCATGAAACTTCAAATGCACATATAAGGAAGGAAAGCAGCTGAGAAATATGATGAGTAACAACGGAAAAAACATTATTAAAGGAAATAGAGAGACAAGGAAACGTTGATTGAAGTTCACAAATAGAAAGGCAATACCAAGACACACAATGCACATCAAATACTATACCTCGATTTATATGACACCAACTTAATTCATTATCTTGTTTCTCTCAAAACAATTTTATATGCACATTAACTATTATGAGTTTATTATTATTTATTTATCATTTCCTCTTCAATGGTATGTTGCGTTTACAATATTTTCATTAACCATATTTTTACAATTTACTAGCCTCAAGATAATTTGGAAAACGTTACAAATATTAATTATAATGTTATCGATATTTCATGAAAATTTTCATTCTTGTGTAACTTTGAGTCCTATTTTAAATGCTTGATAACATTCGTAATAATGTAATTAGTTGTTCTTACAATAGAAAATTTTTAATTGCACGTTAGTAAGATTAAATATATTTCGAGTGACATTTATACTCTCATAAGCCTAGTAACAAGTTTAAAATATGACCTTGTTTTATAGGTATTTTTGCACTGAGATATTCGAATTTCAAAATAATTATCATATGAGTAGGAATTCTAGAGTACTATTCACATTGAGCTATTTTGTTCTACGATGAATTGATTCTTGAATTATTAAAAGCCATTATTTAAAATCTTATTTAGATTTTCTAGGAAATCAATACTATACTAGTGTTTATGTCTTGTCCAAGTTTGATAGTATTCTATTGAAAATAGAATAACTTGGTGTGACAAAAAAAACTTGCTTGTATAAAAGACACGAGTATTTTAAAGATACGGATGTGCAACTTTCTGATTGAGCTAGAAACTGATTATAACTTAGAATTTACTTATTCTCAACGGAGAACAAGTTAAAATCGACAAAAAAGTCTCAAAAGCTTGATCATATTAATAAACATCACTATACGAATAATGCTATGTCTAGAGAACTATAACTAAAATTACAACGTCTCTTGATAGAAATCTTACGTCTATTAGCATGTCAATAATTTTTTCTTTTTATTGATGATGGCAGAACTTAAATTAATATAAATTAAATTAGATTAATGATTGCTAAAATAGAGAGTGTCACATCTATTATTTTATCATAAACGATCTATTTTCTCTATTCAACTAGAAGATATGTCCTTGTTTCATTAATGAGCATTTATTCATTAAAAAATAAATATTATATCAACATTTATGCATAGCTTTTTTTGCTTATTTGAGAACACTAATATGTTGAACAGAGAATAGAACATGCGAATGTATTCTCGAGTGACCTATTCATTGTATTACTCTAGTTTTATCATATAAAGCTTTATTTCAATCGGATGTCTGATAAATTTAACTTAATAAAAGCTATTAACTAAAGATAAGAAAATTGCACATTGAGAATGTATCTAAAAATTTTTCAGAGGATATTTTCAAATATCTTAACTGTTTGGAATAAATAAATAAAATCATGTTACTAGAAAAAAAAAAGACGAACTATATATTTAAATAGACAAATTTTAACAATATTTATGTATATATATATAACTGTAGCTAATCGTTTTTATTAGAAAACTGCATAATTAAAAATCAATCTAATCAAAAGTAATTGCTGAGCGAAGATTAATAGTAGATTTATATGATCATTCATTTAAATATGTTTATTTAAACAGACGATGAGACATTGTAACATTTTGATAGATGAAGGAAAAGGTACTTCTTTTCTTTATTGCTCGGTATATACAAAAAAAAAACTTGTTATAACAGACCCTTCAGGACTAAAATATGAAACTTGCATGTCTGCTTTACCCTCATTAACTAATATGGAATACATCAAGTGAAAAAACTCTCGGAGATAATAATTGTTTTTCCAGATACTCGATCAGCAAAGAAACAATCTGTTTTATTCTTATATTTTGAACAAAAATGTTTTCTATTTTTTTCTGTTACTCAATTTTTTGTTTATCTCGTTGCGATTCGTTCGTTATTTTTTTCGGTTTTCTTAATTTAACTGACAAATAAGCTTGTTGTCCATATTTATTACATCTCGAGCAAATTATTTGCGTTAAAATCAAAAACTGCTCTATTTTCAACATTTATAGGCGTATTCTAGTTATTCAAATTTTGAGGAAGACTTTAGAATATCGTCGAACAGTCTAAGACTTGTTGTTAATGTCGTTCCGTGTCTTCTCTATTATTTAAGAATTCTGGAAAAGAAGTTTAACTTTTGTTGTCTTTGATTGTTACAGAAACACAATTAATGATCAATTCGGTTGCTTAGATTGGTACTAAAGAGCAGGAGAGAAGAGTCACAAAATTTTCAACTTAGAATTTACAATCATTATTTTCTTCAAAAAGATGTGATTTTCATAAAATATAATAAGAAAAGAAATAGAAGCTATATTTGTATATAATAATAGGTATACTATGTATGTAATTAATACTTCGAGTAGAATTTATTTTTCAGCTTTTCCAAATATGATTCGATAGAACAATAGCACATGATTACAAAAACTGATTTTAGCTTCAAAATAGTTTTTTTTTTTTTGAAAAACACACTATTTGTCAACAAATGCAATGGTTTCTATTCTGCTCATCTTTCCACCATACAAAATTAGTTGTTTCTAGGGACATATGGAAAATTGACTACAGTCACAAAGTTGCATTGAAGTTAACTAAAAAATTAGTTTGCTTGTGATAGCTCAGATTACACTTAAAAAAAAATGATAGTCACGTATTTTGTAAGCCTACCTATTTTTTCTGGTTAAGTAGCAAAATCAAATATTTGATCTTGTGTAATTCATTAAAGAAGTGTGTAAAAATTTACTTCTCACGGAGAAAATTGTGACGGGAAACAAAAAGTAATGCATACTTTTTGTTTTGTTGTCTTGTAAATGAACTATAATGCATGAATTTGTCTTTTAAGACAAAGAAATCTAAATAAGGTTCAAAAATGATTCATAAACATACAAATGAGCGAAATTTAATCTGCTATTAGCCATACAATATTTGCAATAGAATCGATTTACACTATTGTCTATATTCAGTTTTTAACAATAAATGTTAAAAATTCAATTTTTTTGTAACCAACAATTTGCGATCTAAGGACACCAAATATAAAAATTATAACAAAAAAAGAACTTGAATTTTAAATACTTTTTCTCGTATAAAAAACAAAAGGTTGATAATCTAGCTAGACATGCAGCGAACGTGGACTTCGCTTTGAAGTTTGAACTGAACCATTTCAGACTGCATCGCGTATTTAGATAATTGTTCAAGCATTTCTTGAAGCATATTCTCTACATTTTATTTTTAATATTATCAGTTAATTTAACTCTTAATATTAAAATAAAATAAGTTATAGATATTATTTTTAGCTTTGAATATATTTATATTAACAGTTACTTAAATAATGTATGAGTGCAAGTCATTTAAAAAAAAAATGATTCTTTCATAAACCAAAAAAAAATTTTCTTTATTTATTCATATTAATAGATTACTCGAAAACAAAAGTAGAGAAGTGTCCTAGAACTGAGAAATAGCAATGCCTGCTCAATTTCCCCACAGCTTCATAATTACTCAGATAAAAAACTACAATATTGTCGATTGTTGTTATGGATATGGATGTGGAATGTTGATATTCTTTTCAAGCACATCCACATTCTGGTCGAGAATATGATCGACATTTTTTTTTTATTACTGTAAGCTCCATTCATCATTTTTTCTTCTTCATTTATGACAAATTTCATTATCAAAACACTCATTTATTAGTGATCATTTCGCAGTTGGTCCATTTTGATGATGAAAAAAAATACTTCCATACAAAATGAACTATTCACATAATCAAACTGCTTTTGAAGAATTTTAAATCTTTAATTAAAATTCAATTCTATTTTTGAAATTTATTTTAAAAATTTATTATCAGGAAATGATATAGAAAATAATGTTCAATATTATTTATAAGAAAAGTGATTGGACCATAAGTGTCAATCCAACGATGAATGATATTCGTTGGTCACAGTTGAATGCTTTGACATGTTTATTTATAGTCTTACCTACCCCCTTAAGACAATATAATAGAAAGAAACAAAAAAAATGCATATTCGTTTTCATCATCATAGATTACCAGGTGATGAATATGATTTAAAATTATTATCTAATAGAGATAATCGTCCTATTTTATTTAATATAATTCAATATGATGAAGCACATTATACTGAACATAATTATAATTGTTTATCAGAATTAAATGGATTTCTTTCAACAACACCATGTTCAAGTAAAGATTATTGTACATGGATAAATGTTGAAGGTATTCATAGAACAGATATTCTTGATGAATTATCAAATCGTTTTAATTTTCATCCATTAACTAAAGAAGATATATATACAATAAATGAACGTATGAAACTTGATTTACTTGATAATGGTTCATGTATTTATTTATTAATGAAAATGTTTTATGTTCATCCTGAAACCGAACATATTCATCAAGAACAAATATCATTTATATTAAAAGAAAATAATTTTTTAATTACATTTCAAGAAGCTAAAGATGAATTAAATTCAATTGATATATTTCAAATAGTTAAAAATCGTTTAAAAAATAATCGTGGAAGAATACGTTCATTAAAAATTGATTATTTATTTTATTGTCTTATTGATATTCTTATTGAAAATTATATGTTTGTACTTGATCGTATTAGTACGAAAATTGATACAATTGATAAATTATTAATGAATAAATTAAAACAAAATAATTATGTTGATGTTTCATCACATAATTTTAATTCTGAAACACTTGCATTAATTTATCATATTAAACATGATATGTTAAGTTTTAGAATATTATGTCAACCATTAAGAGAAATTATTATTAAATTACAAAAAGCACAAGATAGAATATCTCTTACTAATCAAACTGTTCAATATCGACGACAATATCGAAGAAAAAAACGACCAAAACGTATCACATTATCTGGATATTATTTTTTTAATCCAAATTCTGATTCTCTTACTCATCGTTGGTCACTTGGAAATATTCAAGAAAAAGCTCCATTATTTAATGAATATATTTTCATGTATTTTAAAGATCTTAACGATCATATTATATTATTACATGATCGTATTGATACATATTGTGATTTATTATCAAGTTTAATATCATTTTATGTTATACTTAATGAGGCTGAAATGAATAGAATAATGACATTTCTTACTTTAGTTTCGATTATTTTTATTCCGTTAACATTTTTTTGTGGATTATTTTCAATGAATTTTCATAATACACCACCATTAACATGGCAACATGGATATTTTCTTATTTTAGTTATTTTAGGAGCTGGTGCAATATTTACAATCACTTATTTTAAATGGAAAAATTGGTTATAATTTGTTTCATACTTTTCATTAATTTCATTTTTATGTTATGTATTATAACAAAAATACATTCGTCAGTAGATCTCTTTTTTTATAATTGAGTTTTTTTCTGTGAATAAAAAGTTAGCATGAGAAAAATTTGTGTACTTTCAATAAAACAAACACTTTCAATCTTTGGAAAATGATCAATCAAACAAATAGACTATTGAAGTGACAATATACAAAACATATTTCTGTTTATTCGTATTCAATGAATAAGAAAATAAAAGATATTTTATTATGGATTTTCGAGTCTAATAGAAAAACATGTTTGCCTATTAAAAATAAATTAATGTGAGTATCATAACTTGTGTGAAATATACATGATAGAGGGAATCAAGAATCAGAAAAGAAACCTTTACATGTTTGAATAAGTTCTTATTAGATAGATATTATCATGCAATAGTCTATAGGGAAATAACTGATGACCTTCAATCAAGTTTTAAAACAAAATATTTGATTATTTTTGGCTCTTTTTAGTGTATTTCCGAAGAGTTCAAAGCTATTGGATTAGGACTAACATATTATGCACTTGGCAACTATTGTCTTAGAAATTTTATTTTAGTTTTGATTTGAGAGTCCTGAGATAATCTGTGAAAGACTTAAACAATTTGTTTAGACGGAAAGTATCAGGTAAAGTTTCTGCTGCAAATAGTTGTTCATTTTGACTCTTTTTTTATTCAAGACTAGTGAAGAAATTTTTTAAAAGCCCGATAGATTAGACTGAACGATGAACCAATAGGCTATTCATTAGCTTTCATAGGTTCTTTTGCAAAGTCAGCAAAGGATACTTGAGTCGGTTGTTTTGTAGAGCGGATACTTTTTTTTTACAAAATTTTATATTGAGCTAATCTGTGGCTTTGACCTAGGAAAACTATAGACACTTGGCCATGAGTTTCTCTCTATACACAAATGCCTTTTGGTCAACAAGTTGATTTTTCTAAAATGAGGATTTAAGAGAAACGAAAATTGAAGTCATCTATAGACACGAGATAATTTATGTTGTGTGTTTTGTTCTTTTCTGAGAACATTCATCGGGTTGACTTTATATGTTTCAAAGATTGTTTCATATTGTTTTTTTTTTAATAAAGAAAAGAATACGGATTTTTCATATGATTGTTAATATTATTGATTTGTTTTAGAAAGTAAAAAATATGCAATAAGTGGCAAAATTGAAATTAGTGATAATTTTCAAATCTATATGTCAAACTTATTATAAATTTCAATTCTTCAAAATTTCTATGAATTGGCAAAATCTTGCGAATTTAAACTAATATAAATATAATCATCTTTATTTTTGGATCTAATTATCCCAAAAATAACCAAGAAAACAGAAATCATCAATCAGAGAGTTAGTAACTATTTGATATTTGTCACTATCTGAATGTAACATCAATATATATTAATATTGTTAGCTCATTGTTATTCCATAAATGAAAATCCTTCTTCTGTATTGCGTCTTATTCCCATGATCGAATATAATTTTTCTTGAAAGTTCTTGACGATAACCTGATGAAGGTGTATAAGGCTGACCTCTACCAGTATGAAGGATAATTTGTAATCGATCCACCAGACAACATCTTTGCCATAGTCCACAATTTGGTCATATCATTGGGGTTAAATGGAGTTTTGCATAGTCTTTTATTAAACGAAAGTGTTCTCTTTCTCATTTTTACTTCCATCATTTGTGAATCATAGTTATTTCAGATAAGGCCATATATATACATCGTTATAAACATGACATGCAATATTAATGAAAACTTATCAGTTGTTTATCGTCCTATTGAAAAAGATGAACAAGTTCAAGCTCTTGATTTATGGTATTCTGTATTTGGAGCACATAGTCCAGGATGTTTCGAACGTGATTTCACCAATGAAGCAGCTCCAACATATCAAGATGGCGATACTATTGGTGCATGGTGTGATGGACAATTGGTCAGTACAGTACATATTCGACGTCTTATACTTCAGTCTCGTGACAATGGTACTAAGTATTTATGTGGTGGTATTTCCAATGTAGCCACTCTGGAGAACTATCGAAATCGAGGATTTTCGCGACATCTACTTCGTTTAGCTATTGAGAGAATGGAACGAAGCGGAGAATTCGATTTATCTATTTTAGGTACTGGACGATATAAGCATTATTCAGTTCTTGGTTGGGAACAAATGAATGTGCCCAATACAACTACTATCGAATGGAAGAATTTTGATTCTAATATGAATAACATAAAATGGTGTTCGCCATCTGAAATATTTTCATCAGATAAAGAATTAATACTTGCTTTACATACGAAAAATCCTCGAGAATATCAATTCGATCGGTCACCTTCATCTGTATTCGAGCATTTTATAGGTTGGAACTGGCGATTGAATAACGCCATTATTTATATACATCATGAAGAAGAATCGGGTTATGTTGTAATCAGTAAATCAGACAACATTAATGATATTTATGTATCTGAATGGCGAGCACCGAATATTGACGTCGAAAGAAAATTATTCAAAATCGCAGCTGAAGAGATTTATCGTCGACAACAGCAGCAGACAAATATAGTACGTTTTCATGGCTTACCTCAGTATATGACCATTGAGGAATTGGAACAATGGGCTGGAAAGATAAAAATAGATTTCGTAGCAGACATGATGATACGTAACATTCGTCTTTCGAAAGAAACAATTGACAAGATCAAAACAGCGTATTTGAAAGGTTCCGCAACATTTTGGTCAGCTGATTATTTTTAACCAAAACAACTATTGAGATATTATATACAGATTTTCTTTTGTTTTCGAATAAAATATTTCAATAAAAAAGTCCCAACATAATTAATCTATTTTATTATAGATCAGTAAAATTCATTTTATAATTGGGAGTGATTTATCAAGCTGAAAGAAAAAAGTATATCTAACGAAAACACAAACATAGAAATTTCATTGTACTCGAGTAGTGTCACATATCCAAGATTTTTGAGATGCCACCACATCTCCCGTGGGAGATGCCGCGTCTCCAGCGGGAGACGCGACACCCACACTCGAGAGATGTGGTCATTCACCACTGGAGATGTAAGATATCCTTTAGAGATGCGCATCCCCCACACCCACACCCGCATCTCTCGCGCGAGATGCGGCATCTCCCGCAGGAGACGTGGTGGCATCTCCAAAATCTTGGATATGTGACACTGCTGAACGATGGATATTGCATAGTTTAAAGTATCAAATACAGACGATTGCAAACTACGAAAACAATTTAGATCACTTACGTATGAACTTTTCTTACACGTCTGTTTTTAGCCATTAACGGTCATAGGGCAACTGAAGATTTTAGAACTAATGTGAATTAGATGAGTAGTGATCTAATTTGTTTCTATTGGTTACAAAGGAGGCAATACCTGCATTTATTCTTCATTGTTGTAAGATAAAAAAAACAAACGTTCGGATATTTTTCAGTATTTTACAATTTGTAAGAATGGAACACACTATTGATGACTTAATAAAGAGTATTTTTATAGCTCCATCTTGATATGAAAATGATACTTTCATCAAATAAATACGAACTGTTGTGAATAAGAAAATAACAATAACATTGCATTATACGATATTTAAATACAAGTCAATGTAGTTATTAGTCTTATCGCATATTATTAGCACTTTTATTTGAATTACTCATTTTTTCCTCAATGCCACGTGAGAAAATAAATCTTGCTAATTAATATCAAACATTTTATTCTGTTGTTTGATTTAATTAGTGCAAAAAAATTAATCTGATTCTACTTATTAGTTATTTTTGAAGAATACAAAAAATATTTAAAACTTTATTTGCATGACCGTATTTAAGAAAAATAGTTACACTTTTGAAAAATAATTAATTGTACAGAGTGGGTAAAATTATTTTTCCAGGCGAATAACGCTCTGGTTTCAAATAGTAGCCATAACAGATTTTATACGAAATTAAAGCATGTTGAAAATTGGATTTATCAATGCTAAATAGTAAATGATAAGGCAACCTTTTAGTGCCAAGTTCAGGCAATTCTTAAAACTTCACACCACATTGACAATGAAAAATTACTTTCATGAGGAAGTTCGAACTAGAGTTCATTTAAAAGTAGAAATATCACGAAGTATTATTTATCTCTTTTCAACGTTTGATGAATATGACCAATAATTAGTATGATGAACATTAGGTTTTTTTTACAATACTAATATGAGACGGATATGAGCATGCAATAGTTTCAAATGACCCAATATTTGTTGAACCATCTGAAATATATCTTCAAAAGTTTCTTCATCTTAACAGTACCGTTTCGTCTTCGATAGCGTTTTGTTTCAGCTTTATTTTTGATTATTGTTCCAATATTTCCGGGCCAGGTGTCGATTGCTTTGTGTTATTCCTGCTTTGAAATGAGCTCTAGTTCGAACTACTTCATGAAAGTAATTTTTCATTGTCAGTATGGCATGAAGTTTTAGGAATTGCCTGAATTTGGCACTAAAAGATTGCCTTATTATTTTCTATTTAGCATCGATAAATCCCCTTTTCAACACGCTTTAATTTAGTATAAGATTTGTTATGGCTACTATTTGAAACCATAACGTTATCCGCATGGAAAAATATTTTTACTCACTCTGTACATATACAAAAATCAGAAATGGCTTTAGAAACGAGTTTTTTTTATCAGAAACGTTTTGTTATATTTTTTGCGTAATCGGTTTTATGTAATTATTTTGTTAATTCAATTTTTTATGGATATAGTCACAACTCACCATGTCGTGATGTTCACACTATATTCTACTATTCCCTAGACTGAAATGAGAGGACCTAGAAACGGAAATTCACGTGTATCTCGCTGTCGATCTGTCCATAACATAGTTACCAAATGGTAATTATGGTACAAATCACCATTTCTGCAGTACGCATGATCATCTTGGAACCATGGTCAGAAAGGGCGACTTAGTAACTATGATACAATTCAAAACCTAGTAATTATTATTTAAATGACATCAGAAATGATTATAAAGACATCAATCATCTAGCTATTGCTGTTAAAATCAACAGTCTAAGAGGAGCTATATAAAAGTGAAGTTACCGAGCATTTTTAATAAATTATCAAGTCTAATTGAAATTGTTTTGTCTCCAAATAGCGCTAATATAAACTATTTGGAAAAACGCATTCTTAACTTACTTATAATTATTATTGAAAAGATGATTAAGAATACAAATAGAAATAATTCATCGCATCAAGACAGTTTCTTTGCTAATCTAGAACAGCAACTGTTAGGAATGGAATTTATCAGAATTATGTAACATAATTGCATAAAATAAAAAAATATGAGTCAATTGCTTAAATTTATAAATTTTTCATAGGAATAAAAAAAAATTTTTCATTGCTTCGTAATAACAGTATCGTGTATATGCTGAACACTAGTCAGTAATAATAAAGAAAACTGCTTTTTATATTATGTATCTTGAAACTCAGATAAATGTCTATGAAGAGATAAATTATTAAACATCTATTTAAAAAAAAAAGGATTTCCGGTGGAATTTGACATTGACTGAGAACTCGTGTACTATTTATAATTGAATCATTTAGAGAAGAAAATATTAAAAAATAAATAAAGGCAGATAAATGAATTCATCTCTCGTTACTTTCATGTTATTTATTTTCCACAATTTAAAAATGCTTTAGTAAAAGTGAAGTATCAGTCGATGATAATATTTTGAAAACAAGTCAATAATCTAATGTATGCATGGATATTATTTCAATGTGTAAAGCATTATAAGACACTATATTCATTTTTTTCGATGGTAGTTACTTTTACAAAAAATTATTATAGTGCTAATTACAATAGTGTACTTCAGTCTAATTGTATAATACTATCAACAGACAAAATTTCATTACTGAGAAATGATTGAGAATTGGAAAACACCAATCCTTATATATCATTACTTAAGTTAGCGTTTTGTTTTCATCTGTCATTTTATTTAATGCATGTTTACATCTAAAAAAAACCTGTATAAATACTCATATCCCGTCAGTCTAGGGATAAGTGAATCGATTCTCGATAAACGTTATTTGTCTAATTAGTGGTGAAATAATAGAAATAATTCTGCTTTTTATTATTTAATTTATTTTTGATTTTACAAACACAAAGATACTCAAGATGAAATAGAAATAAAAATAACAACAATACTATTTTCTAACAATACAACTGCACATCAATAATAGTTATATCATTCTTGCTATCAACTTTTTTTTTCTCTTGTCATCATCGATTGTATGCTATACAATAGGCATTGTAGCTTAGTAATTCAAGCATTATGCACATATTGAAAGCGACTATTTTTTTCAAGGTAACTCAGCTTTGATTGTTTGTGAGTGAGCTGTTATTATTGTGCTAGCAAACGTTATTTACAAAATATTTTGATTAAATATACAAGAAGATGAGTGACTAATAAAATTTTGTTAAATTAACTATTGTTAATTCACAAAAAGAAACCAATGAAAGCGAACGTATAAGTCATTCTTAACATCGACATAAATAGTATCATAAGTCATCTTGATTTAAAAAAAAATATTTTTTCTCAACATCAAGACGAAGGTTTCTTAATAACAACACATTATGAACCTTAATCCATTGAGATTATTCTTAGTGCTATTGAGGTCTATGTATTGACAAAAAATTGACTCAACAACTTAGAAACAGATGCAAAAAACATATTATCATCCTTATTTATGTATTAAAAAAGTTTATTAACTGACTATGTCATGACAACAATCTGATTATCACTAACATCATTTTAAATGTTACTATTTTTACTATATGTGCTGATTCAATTATGCATCGTAGAAAAAAAAATCGTATTTTAATTATAGATTTGTCGAGACACACAGCACAAATATTCACAGTAAAATGTCTATCGAAACGAAAATAACATTTTAGTACGTTAATTGTATATTGTTTCACTAAAATATCTATCAAACCTTCAGTGTTCATAATCTAATGTGAGATGAAGTTAAGATACTGAAAAACATCAATTGAAATGGTGCTCTCGAATGATGAGTAATTTGACATGACGAATGTGATTTAATGACGCACATAGTCACATATTTGATGTCAAAAACATGACAAATAAAATATGTCGCTTATATTATTGACGCATGAAGAGGCTAATGGCCGCACCCTTCATCGTATTAAAATAATATACAATCCATGCATGAATGATTTGCTTTCGTTTTTTTTTACGTTAAAACTAAAATATAAATAGGCTCATAATCATTGACTTTTTTATAAAGCCTGTATTTTATTCTTACACAAGAATCAACACAATATGCATCATTTTCTTGAAGATGCTGTACTACTTGGAGCATTAGGATTTGGTGCATATGAATTATATCACTTATATCAGTACGGTAATTTTGGCATTGGAAATCCTTATCACCATCCTATGGGATATGGTGGATTTGGTGGATATGGTACATATGGTACACCATATGGCTACAGTGGTTTCGGTTATGGCCATCCCTATGGACATCATCATCATCATCATTATGCTTTCTAGAAAGAAAATAATCTCTTTTTTTTCATCAATTTTATTTTTTTTTCAGCATGTATTCAAAATCATCATAAATATTTTAATAAACTTAATATATAAATCTTTATTCTGTTTTATTTTCTTGAACTAGATATCATCATTCGATTCGATTCACAATAGAAAGAGATAAGTAAATTACTTTATACATTATTTAATTTAGAAACTAATAGATGTCTCAAGATTGTAAAAAATTTGTATTTAGTGAAATTCAAAGTAATAAAACAAATAAATGTTATGTTATCTTAGGTTACACATCACATTTTATTCATCGTGAGTAATAATAGTTTTAAAATGAAATGAAAAATCTACTATTGTTCTCTATTTATTTTCAAATTGCACGAATCATTATGTTTTTTCGTTTGTTTAGTTTACTACTTTTTATATATACACACACTCTCTTTTTTAAGTCTTATCTTCCTGTTTCTGCATTGTGATTCTACGACAAATAGTCATGCTTCTGCAATGACTAAATTAAAAATCTCTAGAATTCGAATCGTTTTGTTTGTAAGGTTGAGTGTAGAGTGTGGGTATGGATAAAAATTAAAGTAACACCCACACTCCCTACCCACTCATACCCTTATTCGTTTGAATGGGTAAAACTTCTTCAACAACTAAACGTTTTTAAGTAGTTTGAACGTATTTTCGAGGAGACACCACTTTGTCTAATCACCCTCTTTCCAGTTTAGACTTAGAATTTCAGTAAATGATTTGATGAGAACTTTTGTCTCTGAATTGAAACTAATTCAAAATTACATTGATCTACGCTTTTTATAGTGCAACCGTAAATCTACAGTGTCAGCTGTGCTGATCACATGTGACGCAATGATCTCGAGAACCAAAACTCAGAAAATAATCGTTGAAACGTGAGATTCAAGTATCAAGATCGAACTAACAATTTCTTTGGAGTTCTTCTCTAAAGCACTTTCGGTTCCCTCAGAGTTATCTTCTGAAAATTATAAATAACGAAGGAGTTTACGTTCTTTTAATTTTGGCATAATTAAATCGAAAACAGACAAAAAGGTAGGCACCACTCTCTGTGCTCATATGTGAAACAGCTGCAAATGCAGCTGATAATAGATAACGAATCAAAAAGATAATTTAACTATCAATCAAAACTGTTCTTTAGAAATACGTCGATACGATTTGGTAGAGATCCTATAGAAATGAATTTTATTATGGCTACTTTTAAAATCGATCCTAGCTTTGTTCAGCTGATTGATGGAAACGAAAACTTTCGATTTACCACGATTGAGAGATGCGTCTAAATCTAACATAGAATACACACTTTGACCGAAAATAACACTTGACATTGATCCTAGAATCGATTACTCGTTTTTTATCGAATATGGTTTTTTTCTCAGAATATTGACATTTCTCTCTTCGCACTGTATTTCGTATTCGAGAGAATCTCAAATACTACTGATATGAGGACTTCTTAGTCAAAAGAGAACGACTCTTCAACTTCGAATATTTTATTTGATAAATTAAATATAATTTCACTGAAAAATATAATGGATTCCATGAATTATATCTATTCAATTTAAACCTATATATTGGAGATCTCGAATAACTTATTAAGATAAGAATTATTGAAAATTCTTTATGCTTTATTATGTACGGAATTGTTCTTACAGAGATGAAAAGGAATCAAAATTTCAACAATTTTTCAATTATTTTTAAAAAGCATTTTTGATCGTTGTGGAGAATGGGTGTATGTCTTGCCCTAAAATGAAGAAACTGTTCCAGAACATTTGCTTTACACAAGCTTTGATTAAACATCTGATTATTTATGCTAGAATTCGTCTGTTCTTATCTAAGATGTTTTTTGTTTTTCTGATTTTAAAGTAATATCAATGTTTTCCTAATTAGTTGAACAATCGAATCATGCATAAAAAAAGGTTTTAAACAGTAGAAAGAGATAAAAAAAAAGTGCCCATTGTTTAGAGTAGGAAGATGTTCACATTAAGAGTGCAAATACTATTTTGTTCTCGTCAATTAATAACCATTGAATATTCTCTCTCTGAATTATACATATCCAAAGAGTCTTTCTTCAAATGAAAGAATGAAAAACCAAGCAAATATTAATCGTTCAATACCATTTGTTGTCACACAACAATTAATGACATATATTAATAATGAACAAACGATAAATATAAAACCATTGGGTATAACATTTATACGAATATAAAGTTCGATTGTAACTTAGCAATATTAATTTGATCTATTGATTGTTTGCTTTTCTTTTATTCTTTAGATGAAATGATTTGTGTAAAAACTTAGCTAATTACACACACAAACGGGTGAACTAATCAAGTTCTAACTTTTAATAATAATAGCAATAACTGGATAGAAAATGAATAAAGAACAAATAGGAACAAGTCAAATAAATACTAGTACATTAGGAAAGAGAAAAAAAAGAAACTCTATTCGAAATACCAAAATAATTAAGACAAAAATCCTTCTCTAATCATCGATTACTTATACTAGATTCACTGAAGATGTTGCACATCATTTTCACGTATATGCAAAGAATTGTATTAGAATGTTACCAACATTAATATTAATTGATTCAATTATTGCTAAAAGTTCATATACATGTCCGGATATACCAGAAGGATGATCATTATTAAGAGAAATTGTTTCATTGAATTCAATTGAATATTTATGGCCACCACCATCAAGTGATGATAGTGTAACATCAACAGGTTATTTTACTCTAAGACGTCATATGTCAAGACCAATGTGAATTGAAGTAAATAATTCATTAAAAAAAGTTTTGTTAAAAGGTTCTTATTTAAAATAAATATGTTCTAAAAACTTTGAACATCAGTCCTTAAAATTAGAATAACTAGTTAAGAACGTTACAATAGAAAATGGCGGATAACAATGGTGATAATCCATCAATAGAATATTTCTTAGAAAGAATCTGATGAAAGAAAAAAGTAAAATAATAAATATATACGACGACCAATTTTACGAGCAATAATAACAAGCTTTTTCGAATAACCAAAAATTTTTTCATTTTTGCAAATTATAAATAAAATAAAATGATGTATCTTTGTTTCTTTGGAACCACCATCTATAGTTAATAAACCATTACAAATAGCAAATATAAATTCAACATTAATATCTTTGTCATAAAAACTATTATTGTCAAGAGATTCAAGTGATATTGCACTTTATACTATCGAATTTTGAGATGTTCTCAAATGTAATCGGGGTCTAGTTAAAAAAAGGTTCATAAAATTAATATAATTATCTGATAAAATAATTAACTTACAGTTCAATTTTATTCTTTTCTTGTTTGTGCATTAAACATATCAAAGCATAAACAGTACGTATACAATTAATAGCTATATATGAAATAGATACCAAAGATAGTTGGAAGAGATTTGTTTTGTGTTAAAGGTTTTAACAAAAATATGGGATGCCAAAATCAGAAAAGTTAAAGAACCATTCAATAGCTACAGCATTATAACAAGATAAAACTGATGTTTTAGTAGTTTATGGATTTGAAGTATGGAATTCCGAACAATACTCATGAAATGAACTAGAACAGAATTGATGCATCAAAACAAATATATGCACGAAAGATTTTACAATAAAGTTCGTTTAGTAATTAGTTGAGAAGTAGAGCTTCATCAAAAAACACAACCTTATTCATTCATTTTAAAGAACAATATATTCTAAATTATTTTATGAAAAAACAACAAGTTGGATTTTTTTTTTGAAAAATGAGAAAATCTTGACAAATTCATTACAAGCATGTATATGTCTTTTGACGTGATTTAACATTAGATATACAATATATAGACTGGTTTTTACAAATTAAATTAAGTCTTTGGGTGGAGCGTGTTCACAGAAATATTAATCATGTTATATGGTTGAATATTAAACGCATTGTATTGAATATAACAGATTAATATATGTTTCTTTTTTTCGTATCTTTTGGTTGAATATGAACGAATTGTTTGAATGTTGTAGAAAAATTTTTATTCATTGTAAAATGTTTTAAATTGATGATGACATTGAATCATATTATGTTTTAGTTAAAATAAATGTATACTAAATATATGACGTAAGTCAATACTTTCTGAATAACTTTCAATAGGAACGAAACAGAGATGCGCGGTGTTTACCATTCAAAAAAAGATTTTCAGTGACTCATAAAATAACAAATATTGATAGAATTTACATCGTTTGAATGAAATTTTTTCCTGAGAAAAGCGATGTCGTGAAATGAAAAAAAAAGCCACTTTTGATGATGAACTATACGTATTCTTTGACATTTTTCGAAATTCATTGATGAAAATCGGGATTTCAATTCATGAAAATGATGGAAAATTAATCATTAACAATGTACGAAAATAACATACTGAGTAGAATGAGAAACAAAAACCTTGAATTCATTTTCTTTGATATAACTACTTCGTTAAGTGGATAGTAGTACCTACCTGAATTTACATAGTTTTACCAAACTTTTCAAAAAGTCTGGGCTAGTTGCTCTCCAAGAACATCAACTATGAAGTTTTCTAAAGTCCATTTACTCTACAGTCAAGTTAAGTGACACATACATGGAAAATTATAAATACTTAAGAATTTTAGAAAAAGCAGAGCAGAACATGTTTTCTGTCTTTACAAATTCATCATTTTGATGGTTAATCTTTTAAGAGCAATCATGACAGCCGATGAATTTCGTACACAAGACATCGATTAAAACAATTTTTCTTTAAAAAATGGATTCAAATTATTTATCGTTTGTAAGATGATTGAAATTGAATATTTCAAATGTAAAAGTAATTCAAGTAAAGGAATAATTTTTCTTTCGCGAAACACTCCAAATCATGGAACTCAAATCGTGCAAAACTCATGAGAGTAATGAAAAGATTTTAGGTTTTCCAAAAAACACCATTATGTAGTGTAAATGAGATAAAAACTTTACACCTAAGAAATTTAATTTGATTTCTTGCGAGTAACGTGGTACGAATGTTATCAAAATAAAATGCGACACTTTCCTTTTTTGCAAACTAATAAAAATCATGCAATGCAATTGACTCACAAATAATCAAACTAATCCGATGATTTTAGTTTTCCAGAAAAATGAAAATCAGGCAATGAAAATGATGTCAAAGTAATGCAAATAATAGAGCATTTTTAATGTTTTCTGAAATAACCGATTTCATGAAATGAAAAGGATGCAAAAGTTATCAAATCAATTGAATGATTTCTATGCTTGTGAAATAGCTGAAAGCATGAAACTTCCTGTGTGCAGATTCAAACAATAACCAGTGAAATGAATTGTTATGGATTTTTTTAAGTAACTGGGTTATGGCTGTGAGTGTGATGCAAAGAGTATAAATACATATTCATTTATACTTACACTCACAACTTTTTACAGAAAATTATAAAAGAAATGAAAAATAAACATGAATATCAATAACAACAGGGTGTGGATGTGTAGATGTGGGGTGTGGATCTCTTTTTCAATCACATCTACACCGCAACCATACTCACCCACACCCACCAACACCCTTAGTATGGAAGGATTGATCTTTCATTCAAATACGTTAATAGTGCAGAACCGTGAAAAAGTTCACTGGAGAAAAAAAATATCTTGAAGATAAAGTTTTGATGAAAAATTTCTGGTCTCTTTTTCTATCAAAGTCATTAGACGAGCAGTACTTCTTCTCTAAAGCCTTCATACGCTGTAGGAAGCTGATGTTGTTGAATCGCGAATACTCATCAATATTCACTGGCATACTTTCACTCTATTCTTTTTAGCTGTGACTCATTGTTGTCGATGGATAACCTTTTGCTTATAAGAGACACGTTGGTTTTTATATTGACACAATATTAAAAGACGAAAAGAAAAATATTCGAAAGTCACAATTGAGATTTTGCTATATCATCAACAATATTTTTGATGTAGGATTCGTTATTATGTTTCTTCTTTGGTTATTTATTTTATTTCCTTCATCAATAGCTCTTAAATCATTGATGGTTACTATTGGTGCAGGTGGTCATGTTATTCCACTGTTTGAATTAGCAAAAGCGATGAAACATCATCATGTGACATTTATTACTGAACCCTATGCAAAGTATTTTATTGACTTTGACTCCTATCAGCATTCGTCTTCGTTTCGTATTCTCTATACTAATGATTCAGCTGATGCACCCGTCGATCAAATCAAAATAGAAAATGATCTCGAGGAATATTTTGCTAATCATTCATTGGTGGAAAGTCTCTCTCAATTGATACCGTCATTAGCTCGAAGTATTGATGCACTATTGAGAAAAACAGTTCATATATTAATGATTGAACAATTTGATGTAGTTATTGTTGATTCGTTTATCAAGGGTATTCATACTCTTAGTGACGAAGCAAATACACCATGTGTGATCCAAACTGCAGGGGTCAAGTTGGACGAGTTCCATATCAATTTACCTCACATGAATTCATTTCTATCATCAAAACAAATTACTCTACTTAAACATCGTATCTATAATGCTGCATTTCATTTACGTTTAATTGCCTCAATTGCAATGAAACTGTTACCATTGCTTTCGACATTTTTCCGATCGCCTCCACAAGTACCCGGTCGATTTTACGAAACATTGACGTTAAAAAATCAAATTTTCACAACAACAAAATGTTTACAGTTGTACAGTTTTCCAGAAACACTTTTTTTATCATCCGATTCAGATCCTTACAAGAAATATCTTGGAGCTTTTATTGACGAAGCATCCAATCACTATGCTAACAATGATCTAGTCAGATGGATTCAATCCAAACCAAAACATTCGATTATTTATGTATCTGTTGGTAGTATTGCACGAATTCAAATCGATCGAATGAAAAGTTTAATTGAAGGTCTAATGGAGTTTCTTCTAAAAACTCCCACTGCTTCAATTCTATTCGCATTTCGTCAGTACAATTATGATAACTTTCAAAAGGTGAAGAAAGAGATAGGGATCAACGAATATCAAAGTATTCTATCGGATGAACAACGCTGTAGAGTTGAAAATCATTTCGTTCCACAAAAATGGTTATTACAACAAAATTCAGTCAGTCTATTCATAAGTCATTGTGGCATGGGATCCATTGGCGAAAGTCTGTACTTTCGAAAACCGATACTATGCTTACCACTGTGCAAAGATCAATTTGTAAATGCTATGGCCATTGATTATTCAGGTGTTGGACAATCTCTATTTGTTCCCCCATCCGTATGGCAATCACTGATCCAACCTGATCGTTTTCATTATTATACATTTTCAGCAAACGATGTCACAAAGAAATTACTCATCATGTGGAAAAACACTACATATGAGAAAGCAGTTCAAATGATGTCCCTTGAAATGAAGCATGCTGGTGGTGTAAAGAGAGCTGTAGAAGAAATTGAATTTTTTGTCAATGTTAACGGCAATTTAGATCGTTATGTACCATTTCAGAACAGTTTACCATTTTATCAACGATATATGATTGATTTGATACTGATTTATATAATTCTACCGATCATAGTCATCCTCTATCTCTTTCGAAAATGTTATAGACGCAACAGAAAGAATAAAATAGACTGATTAAACTATTATTTAAACAATATGTTAGTAAATTCTTGTACATGCTTCATATTTGTTCTAAGCTTGAGAGTGTGAGTGTGGGATCAGAGAAAACTAACACCCTTATAAGAAATAAAAAGCTTGTTAGCGCAGTTCCTTTGGAGCTGAAATGTGGAACTCACGTATATCCTTGAAATTTGAGGGTGTGGGTGTGGGTCTGGACGTGTGGTGTGGGCGTGGGTGTCGGTATGGATATGTGGGTGGGTGTGGGTGCGGACGGGGGTCTGGAAGAGAGGAAAGAGTTGGCTTACGCCCCACACCCACACCCTATAATAAAATACGGAGCAGAGTAAAAAAATAATTAAATGCGATTTTAATACTAGTGAAACATAATGGTAACAAAACAGGAATATTCATCGAGTTATTCGGAGTTTATCTCAGTTTTTCTCTAAAGTTTTATCTATTTGAAAACCGACGAAATATGATGCAAATGTGTACGATAACAACAATGTTCTCGAATTCGGATACCATCATATGTGTACCAGTCTTTTAAGGCTGATTCATATAATTTTTAAAAGTTCACTTGAAATGATTTGACTGAGATATGGAGAGAGAACATATTTCAGTATTTTGACTCAGGCACCGTCATTTATTTGTCAAATTTAAATTTTTTTTACAAAAATGATCAGCGCAGATAGCTCTACAAAGTCTGGTAAACAAAAACGTTTTGTAAGAACATTTAGTTTTTTTGGGGTGACTATCTATTGAAGTACCCAATTATACTCTTCAATTTTTCAAACCTTTCGTTATTCTATAGCTCATATCACTCTATAAATCATCAGTTATATTCATAAATCCAATTTGCAACGGACTTTTATTTTTCTTTGCGTTTGAGCTTTGTCTACTGAAAAAAAAACATTTTTGGCAACTCTGTAGAATCAAATCGCCTCGCATGTATTAATGATGATCTCATTTCGTATTAAAATCAAGATTCGACCAAGAATTGTTAAAGTCAACTATTAGCACCAAAGTTTGGACTTCATCGTTATTGGTAAATCATGAATAATAGTTGCCGATCCATCGATCAAAGTGATTTAATACCAAATATGAGATATTTGATCTTGGTCAATGTAAAGAACCGTTTAGATCGGATTACCAATATAAATAAAGATAACAGTGCATCGATTCTTTTGTCAAAAGGTTTCGAAATACTAAAACTATAAGTTATATTGCATTAAGAACGTTCAGTATATTGTCAAGAACGATTTATCGTTTTGAATATAATGGATGTTCTAGAAATAATGGCAGTTTTTCTGTTTCGCAATTATCTTCTATGTTTTACGCTAGTGACCTAATCTTTTTTTTTAAGAGTCACCTTTCAAGTCTCTAAAAATCCATGTGTTGTTTTTCTGCAGATTACTTTACAGTAATTTTTCGGATAATGAAAAGTCAAAACCTTGAAAATCTTGTACATTAATCCAATTAAGAAAATGGCAAATCAACATCTGAAATATTTGAATGGTTCAGTCGGCTATCATATAATTCGCCGATGGTATAAAATGAGCAGGAAACACGGCTCTATCAATTTATTACGTTCGCGTGACCATCCACAGATTGTCCAAGTAAAAAACTATGATTCGAAAAGTGAAAGCATGTTCAATCAAAGAAGACTCTAATTGAAGAATTAAAACGTGCTGTGAAACGAATAAAAGAGGACATTGTGTTGAAAAGTTGTGAAAGTTGAATCAATCCTCTGTATCGATTGTCCCAAAGTCATGGAGATTGTTTAAATTAATAAAAATAAACTGTTTTGTAGCGAATTGAAAGACGATTCTTTCAAAAAAACCTAGGTCGCTATCGCACAAGATGAGAGAGATAATTGTGAAACAAAAACTTCGTTATTATATAGGACAATTTATATTTATTTTTTATACATAACCAATACAATAGCAAAAAACGACACAAAGTACAAGCTATATGAATATTATTTTTTGATATTTCTGTTGTTTCGATTTAACGCGGTATTCTATTTGATTGCATTGTTGACGTTGATTGTATTATTCGACGATGAAATATTTTTTTTTATGAATAAATTGTTTAAATTCATTTCGAAACAAAGATGACGATAAAATATTGATGAAAAATTTTAATGAAAATCCAATATAAATGAAAAAATACGACATATTATTCAATAACGCTTCTACTTCTAGATGAAAAAGTGATTTTCGAACATCTATTGTAAGTGTTTGATAAAGAAGAAAACATGGTTTGAGTATATTGAAGATAATGTAAAGAACAATTTGATTTAATAATATTTTAACAAATTGAGAATCTTTTCTCAACACTTTATTTATTTGATTTGATTGATTAGTAGTAATACTTGTTACAATTGGTTTGATATTTTATTTTATATGTCGAACATTCTTAAATGTGACGAGTCCAAAAACAATCATGAAAAGCAATGGAAGAATACCATTATCAATTAACATATAAATACTAAAAAACGTGCCATAAGTACCTTTTTTTGAGGTAAATAATTATTTGGATAATTTTTATAGAAAACAACAATATGGATATATATCAAACACCAGAAGAAAATATTAACGATAATAAATCGCATAGCAATCTTAGGTGAACTCCATTGACGACGAAGAGCATTGCGAGAACTAGCAAAATATCGATCAACGGACGCTAAAATTTTGTAATACCATCCAGTAGCTAACAATATATAAAAGAAATAATTACGAAATTTGCAATACCAAACTTCTATGTAAACTGTCTTGATATTAAAACCAAATAGAAAAAGACGTGTCAACAGAGAAAAATTGTAAATTAACAATTGCGAAACATTCCACGCAATAAAATGCATTGCACAAGGACTTTTACGTAAAGCTTCTTGACACAAAATCATACAATTTAAAATTGATTCAATATGGGTGTGAGTGGGTGTAGATAAATAGAAGAACCATACTCACACGCATACCCACACACGTACTCTGAAAAATCCACTATCGTTCTATATTTATTTTAAAATTGCACAAACCATTATGTTTTTCTTTTGTTTAGTTTACTACTTTCTATACATACATATTCTCGTTTTTAAGTCTTATCCTCCTGCTGCTGCATTATGATTCTACGAGAAATAGTCACGCTTGTGCGATGATTAAATAAGGAATCAATAGAATTCGATTCTTTTTATTTGTAAAGTTCTGCTATAGTGATCTTGGTACATGTTAGATATATTCTTCGTTATATCTAACTTACAGTATTGTGCTTCTCTTTATGCTAGTCTAGATATTGGGTATGGGTCAGCTTGAGCATGTGTTGTTGTGAGGCATGGATGGATTTGAATGTTGGTGTAGGTATAATTGGAACCAAATAGAGTGCTCATGCCCATCCACACTGTTAAAACTGTTTGATATGTCTCGAAAACTATGTTTAAACGATCACAGACATTCATACTCTTATCCATTGAAATGCGTAAAATTTCTGCAACAAATAAACGTTTATAAGTAGTTTGAACGTATTTATGAGGACACATTACTCTATTAAGCATTCTTGTTTCAGTTTAGGCTAAGAATTGTATTAGATGATTTGATGAAAACTCTTTTATCTCTGTATTGAAACTAACTCAAAATCACGACGATCTACTTCTTTTTATAGTGCAAACGTAAACATACAGTGTGAGCTGTATCGATGACAACTAGGTTATTGAATAATATGTTAATTAGATTCTATTTCAATATTGATTAGAATATTTTACGATACCATCAAATTAAATAATCATAAAACCAATGTATTCTAATATATAATTCAGCAAAAAATTCCTTCATCTAATACATTGGACTTATTATTTAAGTTGACGATTTCGTTTTTTCTTTGATGTTTCTCGTTCGTTATTTGTGTTGATAATATATCTGAACACTGTATAGTCAAACGATGAAAACTACTTTGATACTTCACATTCTGATCTTCGTTTAGATAAAATAGTAATATAAATCTACATTGACCAAAAGTTTTAGATTGATGTTTGTTATATCGTATTCCATTGAATTTATTTTTTCCACAGAAAATTCAATTATTTCCGAAAAAAATACTCATAGAGGAACAAACATTTTAAGGGTCTATCGTTATAAGTCATGATTGCTTTGTTGTTCACGGAATGAAAGATAAGATAAAAGTCAGTGTTCTATTCCAAGACTTTGAAGAAATATTCAAATGAACAAAATGATCTTCACCTTCAACAATCACTCTGGTACAGTTATCACCAGCATTTCTGGCTTGTTCAGCAAAAGTTATTGTTTGACTAATAGGTACAGTGATATCTACTGCTCCTGTTATAGCTTGTATTGGCACTTCTAATGGCAGGTATTGACTTGGATATTGTGCTCTAAAGGTATAAGATTAATGTTGGATTCATAAAAATTATTTTCTTTCTCTGTGATATTATAGAAAACTCCGTAGACCGAGTCACAACTGTTACAATAAGCTTCATTATCTTTAAAATATTTATGGGAAATATTCGTATGAACAATCATTCTTTTCCAGAACATGTCAAACTGATAAAACATGTCATTTCTATCAGGGAGAAGTAAAAAATGAGTTGTCCACTCTTTCGCTACTGGACGATTTCATGTAGTCAGTTCTTTTTTTAAAATTCTGTTAAAATTGGAACTGGTTTTTGCAAGAATTTTCATTACTAAGAAATTACAGAGGTCTACACTAACTTGACTGAAAGATTGCTGGAAGCCGCCAATGATGATAACACATATCGTTCTGGATACATTTGATACGTTCCACCAAGAAATGAGATTGCTGCACCAGAACCTGTTTCGTTAGCCTGATCGCAAGCATCCCACATATTATTCAGGCCCGCTTGACTGACAAAAGCTATAGGACGAAGAGGATTCGTGCTATATCCAGGTTGATTTGGCATTAGTCGAAAGCGTCCTGTAATATAGCCTCCCAATTGTCCACCAGCTGAGTGACCGACGACAATCACTCGATTACTGTTGAAGCCATGTTCCTGAGCAATTGTTCGAATAAGATCAGTACCATTGGCAACATCATAGAATGTATTCGGATAATCACCTCCGTTTCCAATAGAACGATAGTCCAAATTACACACAACAATTTTAAAACGAAGAAGATCATTGCCTACGGCGTCTTCAATTGAACGGTTGAATTTACCGCACCAGAAACCACCGTGAATGAGAAGTACTACAATAGGAGCATAGGGACCTTTTGGAAGATGACAGTCAATAACTTGAATTGGATCAGATCCATATGTATACGCAACACACTTATCATCATTAGGATAAAGACCACCTATATGTATGAATAAATATAATATTTTTATTGAGATTTTAAAGTATCTTCACAATCACCTTTTCTTAGCAAAGTAAAACATATTCAAATGAAAGCAAAGAAAATATGAAAGTCTATGTCTTTCAGAAAAAATCTGATGAATCCAAATAAGTTAGTATAAATGATAAAAATTCTGTTGTAATCAAACGAATATGATTACTTGAATTTTATTGCTTACCTTGGCATGGACCAAATGTACTTTTGTTGTTAATATTCAGAAGAATCTTCTCATTCCAATTTTGATTTTGTTTAAAATTATTTACTGAACAGGTTTTGCCAGTGCAGGCAATGTCCTTTAAATTTCGCTTTTGAATACCAGTAGAGTGTGTCGACACTATAAAACATTTGATGTTTCAATATGTTTACCAGATTTATCTTCTAGTTATTTTATGTATCTTATGCTCTGTTCTATGATGCCTATTCCTCTTCTATGTTGATGGTTGAATGGAAACTTCATAAACATCTTTTAGTATAAAATTGTTGAATTTTTCTTTATCTATCTAATACTCTGTTTTTATATAAATAGATAGATAGATCGATAGATATTTCCACTGTATATTTCTGTTTGAAGAGTATTGTGCATACTTGATGATGTGACTTGATTAAACGAACAGAAACTCATGTTTACATTAAGTGTTTGTCCGTTAATGAACTTGATTGGGAAACTGAATTGTTTATATGCAGAACTGTTGTAGATTTTTGTATTGTCGACCAAATATTGTTGATGTACCAGCATAGTATAATTTAATGGATATTCAATCGAAAGATGAAGGATAAAAAGATCCCCAATAGTATCTTTCTCTTGAGTTTTACATAGGTTCAAACTACAATAAAAAACAAAAACAATAAATGTAAGAAGATCGTAATATTTTTGCTGTACTTCTTAATTGTGTCTCGCTTCCTATTATCTTCATTTGTAACCATAGGTACAAATTGAGCCTTATTAACATTTACATTAGGTAAATCAAGATGTGTATTAAGCTATTGGAAAAAGAAACAATAAATAACAGTAGGATACAACATATACGTACACTGATAGTAAGCGAATCTAGATCAACGAATTTTGGTAAATTAATGTCATTCATGTTGGTTTGATAAATAATAATGAAAGAAATTGTCTCGTGTCTTGAAAAATTTGGAATAATCAACACAATTAGAATAATACCTATCAAGGTCGTCATAGCGAATAAACTGTAGAAAATATGCTTCCATCTCTTCCAATCATAGTGTTCTGAATTCCTGAAAAAATATACATTTTTACGTGAAAACTTTCATGTTGATCTTCACTTGTAAAGGTGAAGGTTGTAAGAAAAAAAAAAGACTCACCATGTTAGTATTGGTGCTGGCTGTGTATCAACCATGCTATGTTTATCGTTGTCTTGCATTAGTCACATACTCATGAAGTATAAAATACAAATGCAAAGAATATATTCGATCGATCACAATAATAGCCTTTATGATAAGAACATCTGTACTAGTGTAACTGCTCCTGCTGTTATTAATCCCATGGTTATTGGCAGTATGGTAAGCAAATCAGTCAACATATAAAAAGCAATCCTTACTTAGACCTATTGTCAATATTAATAGAAAACTAAAATAAAATAATTATTGATTATAATTTATTCTTTAAAATATACAAGACATTTCAAAAGTCTGCACGAAGAGCCGACGAATTAATGTATAAAACCGAACCATATATTTGGAGATGAGTTGCGCTGAATCAAATATAAATTTAACATATAGTTTGATATGAAATCAAAGATGTTAAACTTGTAAAAAAAAAGAATATTCACCAGTGTATTCATCATCAAAGAGATAATGTATCTATTATTTCTCGAAGACGACGACGATTGGTAAAAATAGAAACATTTGTTTCATCTTTATGAAACATGTGCTTCAGGGAAATCCATAAGATACCTGGAATATTTAAGAGAGAGAACTTCACTAAGACTTTGCTAAAAAAGGAATGATAATATGACACCGATTATCCGAACGATCACGAACTTAATACTAAATTGAATTGTTCACTATGATGTCTGATATTTGAAGCTTCTCATGCATAGTTCCTGTATTGTAAATTCAATAACTTTTTTGCAAGCAGTCCGATGCAAACCGACTAGATTATAAACAGTAGAGAATGATCAACTATGAAAGTGGATCTAGATATTAGAGCGACTAGCTATGAGTGGTGCTCCGAGAGCGAAGGGCAGACGAACAAATAGTCGTTGATCTGAAAGATTCAACGGAAGTAAGCTTTAGGTAGCACTAAAATTCACAGAAAAATTGTTAACTCATCAAGTCCAGTCAGTTGAAACAGTGTTTGAAATTGGCGAAAAACCATAATTTTTTCCCTAAATCAGTGTTGTCCAACAATTCCAAAAATAAAATATCAAATGAACCAGAAGCTCCATCTCAATTGCATTCTATTCGGAATTAAGAGTTTACCTCTATCAAGTCACAATTTCTTTTATCATTCATAAAACTCTTGTAAGGATCAACCATCCTTTCCTAGTTGGAATTTAGGAGTGTTTTTCAAGCATTCAGAATTTCTTTCATATCTTTTTATTAGTTTTTCGAAATGTATTGGGAGAACGAGAAAAATAAATTTATAGACTCATACGTATGCCTGTTTCTCAAATGCTTTCCAAGACTCTCACTCATGATAAACATCAATAGGATGAATCAAAGATCGTTTGAGAGACGATTGTATATGAAACGAAAGAAATAAATATAAATTTTCGACATTTCTAACATGTCAGTATCAATAGAAATCGAAATTCGTGATTTCATACGGAAATTTTGAGTATGGATAGTATATTCTAAATGTATTAATGTCTTATATGACGAGGAATTACTTAAAATGGATTTTTCTTTCAGTCGAATACGATTTAAAGAACGCGAATAATTAATTACTCAATAGATCGTCAATCGTATTATATCATACAAATACAAACTGACTTGATTTGCTTCTCAGATGGGTACCGAATGAAATACTGATAATAGTAATCGATTTTCAGTAGAGAGGTGAGCGACGTGTGCGTTGCGTTACTTGTTTACATAATCTGATGATACTTTTTTTTTTACTCTAACAGCTTTGCTTTTCAACGAACAATCTTTCGTTTCTACCTTAAGAATATCCGATAAAGACATATAAAAAGATACATAGAAAGCTGATCGTCACATTTGACATGTTTCAAGTGTAAAAGTAAATTGATTCTTAACAAAAAAAAATTTTTGCACTGGACATTAGTGTTATTATTTTCATCTAGAAGTAATTTTTATACACATTCTGATGTGCAACTACAAATGGGTATTAGTATGATTTAAGGATGAATAAATTTTTACGTGTTATGATTTGATGATAACCATGGAAAACTTGAAAACTTGCACAAGAACTACATAATTAGGCACTAAAACATGATGCCCTTCTATCTTTTGTAAAATTATACCATATAAAAAAAAAAATTAAAAAGATTTTTATCTGATTTATTATCAAAAACAAAAGATCTCTCCAACTGATTTATAATACAAAACAAAATTGAGAAAAGCTTCACTTTATTTATATTTAAATATTCTCACGATTCTTTTTCAATCAAACATTTAAGTACAACGAAGCAAAGAAATACTTGCAATTTCATTTTATTATAGCCATATGAAAAGTATATCATCATCTGTCGTGTTAAGAACTTCCGTTCGAAAAGAACAAGTATTTGAATTCTGCAGATCACGCATTTTTTATCATAAAGTGTAGCACGTATCAATATATCATTGAGAGTGAGAAAACTTAATTTCGAAAGACCGTTGATAAGTATATGTAACATTTCAATGAATTCATGAGCACAATCATGTAGTTCTATGATTTGCAAATGACAATTAAATAGACAATGTTTAACAAATTTAACTGTTGCCAAACAGTAAAAAGATTCAGTTGTCGTAATCCATTTGACATGAACATGTTACATAAAGAACTATCATTAAGGAGATCGATTAAAGTTTTCTCTTTCAAATAGGCTTTACAATCATATTCTACTCTATAATGCAGTTCTAGAATATGTAAATTGGTCGCTTGCGAAAAGAGAAGATGAAGATGATTTCGATTGAATGATTCAACAATACTAAGACATGTAAGTTGATGTCAAGGAACATTAGGTGGTGAAAAAGAAATCAATTCTTCGTTCATTCGATCATAATAATCTCATTGCAGCGGGACCATTGATTGTTGAACATACATCTATTATATGACAATGGAGTTCGTCTCAATTCGGAAAAAAAAGTTAGTACTAAAAAACAACTGTCTATTTGTACACATGCACAGTATTTTTATTTAGATAGGAATTCACCTGTTGAAATGTCTCGAATAAAATTTTTCTTGTCTCTGATAGGGACACTACAATTCCAACAGACCAGTTAACATCAAACGAATATAAACATTGACTGCCAAACATAGATTGTAAATTGTGAAGAACATGAGGACCAGCTACACACGCCAATAATCTAAACTTCATTAATGAAAATAAACACCCACATCCAAGAATTCGAACGATTGGAAAGCATTCAGAAAGAATAACAAACTTAGAAATTTTCGGAAAATTTGACGATCTTGGATACACTCATGCCACACCCTCAAGAGAAAAATATTGCGGACAATACATTATCTTGACTTTAGGAATCATGCAATTGTTTTTTGTAGAATCTCAAAAGACCTTACGAGTTTAGAAGTTTTGAAATGATTATTTTGCTAGTTTACGAGAGATAGTATCTGCTATTATAAAAATGACTATACGGACTAGTATTTCGAATTCCATATCTAAAATAGCGCAACATTAAGAATATAACCTAAACAAATATTCAAAATTTTAAATAAATCCTATCATCGCGTGTTTATTCATCAAAATGTTCGTCCGAACTAAAATATTTGCGCTAGAGTATTCTTCAATTTTGCTATTAGGAAGAATTGGTACTATATCTTATTCTTGATTTCTCCAATAGCTCCATTTTATTTTTACTTCCTTGCATCATCACTGTTTCGGCAGGAAGAAAAATCAATATTATTCTGTATCAATAAAAAATGTCGTATGAAAAAAAACAAGTCCTACATACTTACTCAAAAAAAAATCATTCTTTTTTTTTCATTCTCCGATTATAATGCTTTACCTGAATTGTAGACATTTTACACGTGTTCTTAAGTCGATAGAAATCTAATCTTCACAATGTGAGTAATTTTTACTTGCTTTTCAAGAAAACATTTGTATTTTGAACATTTCAACAAATTGTAGGCAGGCATGGCTTGTTCAATTGTATTATAAGTGAGTGAAAGATATCATGTATATCATATTGAATAGATCAGATTCATATAGATTCACTGGATATCAAGCTGGTCTTACTAAACATTCATTGTCCATTAACAATAATGGAGTTGCTGCTTCATTTAGTTATTGTGAGAAAGGTTCAAGAAATCCAGAGAAACCGACTATTGTATTTGTTCATGGACTTTCTTCTAATAAAGAAACATGGATACCAATTATCAAAGTTAGTTAACATTGAATTATATCAGCATCTTAATCAGTTATTTGTTACATCTGTAGAATATTTCAGATGACTATCATTGTATCACTGTTGATCTACCTGGTCATGGAGAAACGGTCGGCTTTCAAGAAGATATGTATACGATTGATAAATTTGTTGAGAAACTTAAATTGGTATAGATGATTATTAATCCTTTTTTAAAGCTTTGTTTTAATTCTCATAACTTGATCTTGGTCTTAGTTTTTTGACGCCATGGATCTGACCGACCCAATGTGTATTATTGGCGCATCTATGGGCGGTGCAGTCGTATGCATGTTTTCTATAAAATACCCAGAATATGTAAGCATGATTTGCTTATTAGCTCCTATAGGTAAGTTTCACAACATTCTATGAGTATGTATCATTACTTGTTTCTATATAACTACTTGTTAAAATAGCGAATGAAGCATCTGAAACTGATTTGATTCGACAATTGCGCAGCGGTGTATACAATGCTCTGTTACCGGAGACACCAGAAGAACTATGTCGAATGATTCATACACAGACAGTAAAAAGACCTAAGCTACCTGGACCATTTGTCAATGGATTTCTGCACTTGCGATTACGTTTGTTGGAAGAACACAAGAAAAGTATCGTACAATGAAAATTGTTCACACTTAAGTAGTTTGTTTTCTAGTACTTACCTCACTTCTCGGATGCGATAGTTCACAAATCGAAGATCATTATCAAAATTTGCGACAAATGAAGAGTCCAGCATTGATATTATGGGGTCGACAAGATAAAGTATTAAATGATGAAATCTAATATTTTTAAAAAAAAAATCTTATCTTCTCCACTTAGGTCTATGCTGTTAGTGGTGCGGAATTTTTTCGCAGTTTGTTGCCGAATTCAGAATGTGTTATTTTCGATGATTGTGGCCATTTTATGGCTATTGATAAGCCTGAAGAGACAGCTAGGAGTATATTGACATTTTTTGATAGTAATACCGATCATCAAGTGGAATCATTGTCAATAACCAATATCAAACTATTGAACTGAACGATAGTTGACTTTTCGATTTCTATTTCCGATGATTTTATTGTCAAAGTTTTTGAGAATAAACTTCATGAACGATCATATGTTATTGTGTACTCTAGCTATACATGTCAGTTTCTTACGTTCATTGTGTATGTTATTCTTATTTGAACATATGACATCGTCCAATTTTGAAATATTTCGTAGGTAGACAGTCGTTTCGGTTTGTACTCTCCCGACCTATATGCGTTAGTATTTTTAAAATTCAAAGATATAGAGCAATTGATACTTGTTATACTTTTAAAATATATAGATTGAAATGTACAGTAATCAAATCATACTTGAAATTGTAAACAATGAGTCTTTTTGGAATATATATATATTCTGTTTGCTTCAGTTTACATAGTAAAATAAAATGCATCACATGCATGTGTCGCATTTTATTCTACACGCACAACTACATATACACTCGAATCACTAAGGCACAATTAACTTATCTGTATTGAATAACATGTTGAAAAATCGATCAGTGATTGAGATGAAACCACCTTGAAATGGCTTGATTGATTAATGTCTTACTGTCTTAGATTTCTAAAATATATAAACTTGAACTAGAAAATCTTTAAAATGATTCTTTTTTTTTTGGGTGTTTTTATCATTATGTGGCGTCATCTACCATAGTTATTACGAATTGGAAAGATAAACGATTCATTCATTTTTCAAAGTATAACTTGTTTAATTAATCATTTGAAATTATTTAAAAAAATGCTCTCGAATATTTATCGTCAACATACAGAATATGTATCAGTTTTGAAACAAAAACAAGGTTATATTTCTATCATAAATTATTTTCTTCTATATGATATTTTTGTTTTTTTTTTTTTGTTCAGAAAAGAAAAAGAAAGAATTACTAACATCAGCAGAACAATTAACTCGTCATGTTCTCGATGGACTTAATAATGAGTAAAGTTTTTTATTGAAAAAGTCAAAATTTCTATTAAAATTTATTGTTTCGTTTTTAAAGTGTTTCTGAATGTTATAAAAATCAAAAACGTATTGATCATGCATGTAAACAATTAACTTCACAATCAAATTTACTTCTAAAACAATCTCAAGCATGGATAACACTTATTGGACAATTTACTGATGCACTTAAAGTTTGTTTGTTTTTTTGAGATCAATTAATTATAATAGAATAGTTTTTGTTTTTTTTAAACTAGGAATTAGGTGATGTTGAAAATTATTCAAAAATAATTGAACGAGAATGTTTATCGATAACAAATATATTAGCTACTGTTCATCAAGATATGACTCAAAGTAAAGAATTTGAATTTTTTTGTTTGAAAATTTAAATCTCAATTTAATTAGATCGACAACAAACAAATGATACCAATCCTCAAGATTCTTTAAATCCATCTGAATAATTAAATTAAAATTTTTTATTTTTAATTTTTTTTTAATTTTCGATCAATAATAAAATTAAAAAAAAAAGCGAAGTATGTCTATTTGAACAAATATATAGATGTGTAATGTTAATTTGAGATGGAAATCGATGTAAATAATCGTCGTAGTCGACAACGACGACGACATGATCAACCACGTTTACTTGAAAAACAAATTCGTCCAGAAGTATTTGAACGATGTTTACAATTTATTGATATTGTTATTAATCAAATTATTTATCAAGAAAATATTTATCCGTCAAGTAATGTTTAAATATATTTTATTTTTTTTAAATTCAAAAATAAAACAATTAAAATTGATTCGTTTTTTTTAGATTTATTTATTCCTTGTCAAATGTATAATTCACTTGTTTATAAATGTATTGATAAAGATATATCATCATATATAACATTATGTATTGCATCATTAAGAGATTTATTTTTTCAACAATTATCTGATATGATTTCAATAAATATAATTCGAAATATTCAAATTCCAATTATTCTTCGAAGATATTTAATTGAATTACATACTATACATGATCCATGTTTACGTGCTATTTATGATAATACGAAACAATTAATTAATCAAATTGATCAAGCATTTTCACAATGTATTCAAACAATTAAACAAATTAAACCATTAGATAATTATAAGTTTAATAAACGATGGACATTTCAATTAAGGTTATTTTTATTATACTAAAAAAAATTTTTTGTTTTTTAATTTTATTATTAATTTTAAAAGATTATGTTCCGATGGAAAAAATAGTAAAGGTATTACCATAGGAGAAATTCTACGTAAAAAACCAATTTATAAAGAATTTCTATTAATTAATCAACAATCAGATTTATTATCCAATGGTAAACAATCAATTATATCATCAATTAAATCATTACATACTGAAAGAATTAAATTACAATTTATGTGTGAAGATGATAAATATGAACAAGAGAAATTTCAACAATCGAATCAATATTTATTAAATAATATAACTACTGATCAACAAGATACTGATTATGAAACTGATTCTGATATCGATGATCATCAGGTATATTTATCTGCTGGTGTGACTAATATGTTCACTAACACCAGTCAGGAAATCATCCTGAACAAGTGTACTAATGACTGTTTCTCTTACATTAGTCTTTCAATAGTATGATAACTATGTTGGGAGATAGGTCTGCTCTATTGACTCCTATTTGATTGATGTGTATAGGGAGCTCAAATAATCACACACGAGAACTATACGTCAGATTAGCCTTCTACTTAGAGCTATAGCTAGTATTAGTTCTAGAAAAAATATCAAGCAACTGAATCTACCACTAGGTATCATCTCATACCGCAAAGAATTCTTCCTATTATAATCAGTTATATCGGAAATACTTATTTAAGTTTGACATAGAAATTAAAATATTACTAATCATACTTTCGAATACATTTTTTTTGAAATAGTATAGAGACTGGTAGTCTTCGAATATGATCTTTGTAGAAAATAGACTAGATATACGATATAACAAGCCTGTTTACATTCGTATATTAATTCTATTAGTCTTTAGTCATGAAGAGTTTAGGATGATTTTTGTGATTGATGAGTAATCATTAGACTTCTAATTGATAAAATATATTTTTTTTTAAATACAAAAATCTATTTCTTAGGACTATTCCAAAGAAACAAATGTGTCTTCTTCAGTTAGCAAAAAATCAAATGAATCTGAACTTTGGCCATTAACAACAATGAATAATCCTTCAATATGTACAATAGATGATCAAGATATGAATTCAAATGATAAAAAGAGACAGAATAAGAAGAAAAGAACGATAATTGATACTGATTTATTAATTGATCGTTATCATATAACACAAAAAGCTAATCGAGAAAATTTTGATGCTCTTCAATATTCATCTGAGAATGAAGATCAACCTCAATCACCTTATTCTCCTGATAATATTTGGCAAAAAGAAGAAGAAGAAGAAGAAAACAACGAGGATGAAGATCTATGATTAGATTATTTGTATAGAAAATAAACAAATTTAATTAATAAATAATTATTTTATTAAACTAACAAAAACTAGTCTTTTTTACGACAATTTATTAGTTAAAGTCAAAGAGTCATTAGATAAAATAAGGATAAACATCACTATTGAAATTGAACTAATATGTTATGTATCGAATTGTTTATCAATAGTTGTAAATTAATTGTTTTTTTTTATTTTAGCAATCATCTTTTCATTTAGATTGATCGTACCTATTCAGAATCATTAATCATCATTTAAATCATTAAATAGAAAAAAAAACCAATTGATTGGTTACAACTTCAGTTGTTTTCTGTTTTTCTTTCTATATATAAATATTTTGTTATTGTTGTCTACCATTTGTACATTTGGAATGTCGAAAATTTCATGTCAACTTAAACAATGCTCTTGAAGGCTTTTTTTTTAAATTTTAGTCTGTTAGCTAGTTAAAAGAGATGTAATTTATAAGTGAAAGATATTAAATCCATCGAACTTTTGCTATCTACTGGCATTAACTGACTCGTTGATGACTGAGCAGTTTAAAACCTATACGAGCTTCTGTTTTTCATTTCTGATTACATAACAAAATGTACTGATGTAACTGAAAAATTAATATGATTCATATTCGCAAATAAAGAAACAACTATTTTCATTTGAATATTTGATGATGAACAAACAACTGTAAAGTTATACAGAAGAAAATGTTTACATTTTCGGTTTTTAACAACCTATTTTTGAATTCTGAAAGATATGATTCAATAATATTATCCTTTTTGATTTCACAGATAATCCAATAGAAAAATAGTTTCTTCTATAAGAATAGAAACATGGATATAATGAATAGTTTCGTTTTTCAATATTTCGAAATCATTTTAATCATACTTGCATCCGACATCTAGCTTGTAACTATTCATTGGCTTTTCTTTCATCGTTTCTTTCTCAGTTTTTATCTGTTCTTCTTCATACGAAAAAATTTTAGTTACTCTTATTATGAATATCAATGCTCTAAATAATAAGAGAACATGCTTGTCGTTATTTTCATTATGAATATTCATACATTATACTTTTTATTCTTCTTCTCATGATGAAAAACTATTTGAACAGACTATATTATTTCAATATAGATAATTGTAGTTAACTGTACTGTCACAATTCATCTTTTGAGTAGCGTTTATTAATAATAAAAGTTTTAAAAATTTCTTTGAACTGTCAAAAAAGATATTATTGAAAAGTACAGCATTAAACATGAAGTAATAGATTTCTATTATGAATAAATAATTCAAGTATAACTTTTTAATGTTTAAAATAATTAACTTTTGAATTTAGAAAATCTTAATAATATGTCAAATTTTTATGATCAACTATGTCCATTCTATCATGTAATTTTTGAAGATTGGAATGCATCTATTGAACGACAAGGTTCTCAATTGAAAAATATTATCGAATCAAATTGGCCTCAACATAAAACAATATTAGATGTATCTTGTGGAATAGGTACACAAACTATTGGTTTATCAAAAAATGGTTATCAAGTAACTGCTTCTGATCTATCGGAAAATGAAATTGAACGAGCAAAAAAAGAAGCTCAACAACGTGGACAAATAAATATTTCATTTTCTGTTTGTGATATGAGAAGAGCTTTTACACATCATGGTGGCAATTTTGATATAGTTATTTCATGTGATAATTCAATTCCTCATCTTCTTACTGATGAAGATATTTTATTGGCACTTAAACAAATGTATTCTTGTTTACGACCAGGTGGTGGTTGCTTAATTACAGTTCGTGATTATGATCGAGAACAACGTGGTGGTAAAAATATCGTTAAACCTTATGGAAAAGCAAAAATTGAAAATGATAAACGATATGTTGCTTTACAAGTATGGGATTTTGATGAACAAAATTCTCAATATTATGATTTTACTCTATATATTATTGAAGAAGATCTTTATTCTAAACATATTGTTACACATGCAATGCGTTCACGTTATTATGCAATTAGTTCTGAAAAATTAATCAAATTAATGCATAATGCTGGATTTGAAAATGTTG